GAGTCTGTGGCTTCTTCGGTGACACCCCGCCCTCACACCACTCACCGCACCCCCCACCCCAGGAGCCAGGACACTGTGGCTGCCCCAAAACTACAGGAAGGCACACAATTGATCTTTCCTTTATCTGTCCTTGGGCTAGGCCCAGGACGATTTCTCCAGAAGCAGTGGCCCCTTCCTCAGCACCTGTCGCCTTAGGCTAAAGGCTTCCTCCTGTCCCTGCATCTGCGGGCCTGACTGCTTCCTTCCTTCTCCATCATGCACCCTCTGGGCCAGCTCCGGCCGGGAGGACTTTGTGCAGGGGTGATGGTCATCTCTGTGTGCACTTGAGAGGTGGCTAGTGCAACGGAGGAACCAAGTTGTCCATTTTCATTAATTTGCACAGAAATAGCCACACGTGACCGGTGGCTGTCTCACTGAGCAGTGCCGTTGGAGACTAGAGCAGGGACCCCGTTCCTGCTAAGGGGACAAATGCACCATCAGTAACATTCGTCTAGATTCATAGAGTGGGACCTTCCAAGGATGCCGAGAATATGAAGGCCCAGAGAGGGGCAGTGTGTTGCCCTAGGTCACACAGCAAAGGAGCAGTCCTCTGCGGCAGAAACCCAAGTCGTCCAGCTCCGGCTTCTTCATTGTTTCTGAGGAATGTGATCGGTCCCCTCTGTGCAGGGGGAAGAGAGGCTGTGGGTACCATGGGGCACGGACAGTGCTCCCTGGGCTGAACACATGTGAGTGTATTATACACCTGTCTCATTTTACAGGTGAGGCCACTGAGGCCCAGGAGAGGAAGGGCCTGTCCCCGGTCCCACAGCCCACAGACGAACGGGCTGCGGTCTCCTGAGGCTCTCTGTGACCCAGTCCCAGAGTTGTCGCGAATCTCTGCCCCTGGGAGGTCCAGGGTGTGCGAGCTCTGGTTTACACACCCAGCCGGGGCAGGTGCAGTGAGTAAGCGTGCACAGACCTCTCCCTTTCTGTGGAGTTGTTTTTCCAGCCTGGTCTCCTGAGACTTGGTTCCTGCAGGTGCCACACCTGGTGTCCCGCCCTCCTGCTTATTCTGCGCCAGACCTGAGGGGCGGGGTCTAAGTGTTAGGTACACCTGTTAGAAAGGTGAGCGCAGGAAGAATCCACCTTTGCCAGTCGTGCAGGAGAAAGGTGCCCAGCTCCATCACGCTCTCTGCCCCCTCGTAAGTGAAGGGCCGCAGCCAAGGCTGAGCCTTCGCCACCGCTCCCATGAGGGGCTCCGGCCACACCCTTCCTGAGACCACCCAGTTCATTGTGCCAGAGAGCAGGGCTGCTGGGTCGAACACAGCACACCCAGCTGAATTTGAACGTCAGATAAGCGACAAATAAATTTTTAGTGTCAGTGTGTCCACATGATGTTTAGGACAGGCTTACACTAAAAATCATTTGATATCTGTCTGGAATTCAAATTTAATTGTTCATCTGGGGTTTTTTGTTTGTGTTGCTTTGCTTCATTTCATTTGCTCAGTCTGGTGATCCTGCAGGGTGTGGGGGGCGGGGCGGTAGGAGCATGATCCCCATGCGGTGCGCATGACAACTGAGATCGAAGAAGTGACGGGGGTCACACAAGGTCACGCACGACAAGGCCCTGACCGGGCCTGGGTTTGACACCAGGTCGGATGGAACCCCCCGTGCTGTCTGCTGATAACAACCTCACCAGCTTCTGCAGGGCAGTTTGAGGAAGCCCAGAAGTCACATGCCTAAAAAAAAAAAAAAATTGAAACTAACCTGTCTTTTCCCTGCCCGGGCATGTTAGCAGTTACTCACACCTTAGTCTGAAATAAGCTTTTGGTGACAGCTGATGGGCAACTGGGGAGAAGTGTTGACGGAGGGAGTGTCAGTCCGTTTGGGCGGCTGTAACTTAAACACCGCAGACTGGGTGCTTGTAAACAACAGAAGAAACGTGTCGCTTGGAGTTCTGGAGGCCTCAGGTTCAAGATCAAGGCTCCCACAGATTCAGCATCTGGCCCAGGCCTCTTCCTGGTTCAGACAACTGCCTTTTTGCTGCGTCCTCATGTGGTGAAAGAGGCGAGGGAGCTCCCTGCCGTCTCTCTTAGAAGGGCACCAGTTCTGTTCCTGAGGGCTCCAACTTTGTCGGTTGATCACCTCCCAGAGGCCGCGCCTCCGATACACATCGGGGATTAGCTTTCAACACGTGAACGTTGAGACAGAAGCATTATATATAGTCTCTGGCAGAGGACAACAGTGAAGGTTTTCAGAGTCCTAGCTGCAGATGGAGATGGTGAGCCAGGGCCGGGGTGCAGAGGGGTGGTAAGCATTAAGACCTTTTATAATCTGACCCCGTGTGCCTCTCCAGGCCGCCTCTTGCTCTTTCTCGCCTTGTACGCATACACCGGTCACCCAGGGACCTCTCCCGCCGTTTTGCCTTTGCTCTCGCCGTCCCCTCTGCTCACCTCCCTCCCCCACCCATATTCCAGGTCCCGACTCAGAGGTCCTCATGCCTGGAAGCAGAGACAGCCCCTCCTGTTCACTGTGCTTACATGTGTGTGCGCTCCTTCAGCTCCCGGGGGGCTGCCCGAGGCCCACGGTGCTCCCTGCTCCTTGCCGGACGCCCCGTGCTGGGCCTGCCATGTAGGTGGCCCACAAATGTTGGCGGGAAGGAAGGCAGGGGAGGGGCCCCCAAAGCAGACCGCCTACTGTGCAGTTTTGCTGAGACACTTGGACAGTTTCCAGCCCATGCTCGAGGTGATGTCGGGGCCGCTGGACACTCCCCTGCAGACGGCCTGCCTCGGGGGGTGTGGTTTGGGGGCCCTCTGAACCGTGTTCTCAGTGGGGTCTGGAGGGCTAGCCTGAGGGCGGGACCTGTCTGTGACATTCACCCGGGAGTCCCCAGTACCAAGGGTGGCGGCTGGCACGTGGCAGGTGGCTATAAACTCTTGTTGGGTGGGTGGATGGATGGAGGGAGTCGTTCACCGGCCATGTGTCATCGCATACTGTCTGGGGCGCTCGAGACCCTGTGGTGAAGGGTACAGCCAGGCCCGTCCTCAGCGAGCCGCGCCCACCGGGCCCACAGGTGGCAAACAAGTGGGCTACCCTCATATATGGGGCTCTGTGCAGGTTGCCCAAAGTGCTGTCAACACCAAAGGGCAGCAGGCGGGGGCCCCTGTAGGCCTCTGATGCGACAATGGGGCTGAGACCCACTGGCGGGAAGGCGCCTGTGGGGACGGGAAGGAAGCTCTCCTGGCCACCACGAGCCTCGCACCTTCCAGAGCTTGAAAGCCCTTGGTGGCCCAGGGTGGAGGGACACCTCGAGGACGACCTGTCCTGGAGGTCTCGGCTCCGCTCCCGGTCAGCCTGTCCCCCGCCCCGGGAGAGACCTGGCTCCGCCTGGAGGCCCAGGACCTCCGAGCAGTGCCGGCGCCTCGGGCGGGGCCGCCACCACCTTATCAGTACTGAGCGCACCCTGTGGACCGAGCCCCGTGGGAGGGGGCTTCGTCCTGCGTCTCCTTGAAGCCCCCTGCCCGGTGAGGGTTGGACCCATCTTACAGACGGGGTGCCTGAGGCTCGGAGGGGAAGGGATGAGTGCCTGGTCCGGGGGGGGGGAGTCAGACTGAAGGTCCAGTGACTTGAGAGCTGGGGCCCAGTCACGTCCCTCTGCCACCCTCACCGTGAGGACGGCGCCCCCGACTTCCACGACGCTGTGGGACGGGATGGTGCGAGGAGGTCCCGCCAAGGAGGCATGTGACCTGTGTCACACGAGGAGGTGGCCGCGGGCAGAACAGGGAAAGGGTGTTCCAGGTGCGGGAAAGAGCTTGGCGTGTTGCAGAGAGAGGGACCAGTGTGGGGGGAGGGAGGGCAGGAGGGGCGGAACCATGGGTGGGCTTAGTGGTGCAGGCGGAGGCGAGCCCCCACGCCTGCTGTGACGACCGTTTCCAAACCTCCTTTAGCCCCTGAGGTGCAGGTGCCCTCTTCACGGTGGGTGTCGCAGTGGGCACCTCCCCTGGGGAGCCGCTCGCCTGCTCCCGGCACCCTCTGCAGCCTGGCGCCTGCTGTTGCTCAGAGGAGCGGACCTGTCCGTGTGTCCATGTGTCCATGTGTCTCGGTGTCAATCAGCCTGCAGGACTGAGCAGGCTTACGGCTCTGTGGGACAAAGGTGCACCGCCTGCGTACCATCTGAGGCTCCCCGGGGCCTGAGGGATACCGGGCTCTCCCTGGTCTCACTCCGCGCACTCACGTAGGTAGCGTCGGGGTTAATCTAAGTGCCGCAGAAACCTCTGCCCGCAGTGTCGCCGTGGGAACCGCTCATCAGAGTCCGCTTCCCTGCACAGACACGTTTGAATGCCAACGTCCTGTTCCTTCCGGGCCCCTGAGGGACACATGTTTTGTGAGATGTGTTGAGTATGTCTTTTAGGGTGTTTCCCAGATGTCAGACTCAGGGGGTGGGGGCTCAGGCTCTGGAGTCAGCCAGGTCTGGGTTCAAGTCCGAGCTCTGCTACCTACTAACTATGGCCTCGTAGAGCTGCTTAATCTTTCCAAGCCTCCACTTCCTAATCTGTGAAATGGGGGTTAGGACTGTACCTGCCTGCGGGGGTGGGGGGTGGGGGGATTAAATGAGGCCGTGTGCCTACAGCTCCCCTGAGCATGCTGCTGGCTCGGGGGCCCGGATGCTGGCTCCCGCCGGCTCTTCTGTCCACTCTGGCTCCTCCCTCTGGGAGGGGAAGACCCTCGGCCGTGGGCGTGGATGCTTTGGGGCAGCGATACCAGCCATGGAGCCCTAGAGAGCATGGTGGGCTGTGGGGCCCCGCCAGGGGTGCTCTGCAGGCGGGGGTGGGCCCAGGACCGGACCTGGGACTCTGTGAGGTAGGCTGGGCTTTGGGGGTTTGCTTGTTGCACACACGTGGGAAAGGCCCCGAAGGCAGAGCAAACAGGAAAAGCCAAAGCGCCTTGGAACGGTCCCCAGAAGAAGGGAGCGGGTGTGAGCCAGCATCCCCTCCCCCTAACCGTGTGCCCTTCTCCCCTAGTGCTCCTGCGGGAAGAAGTGTCTCGGCTCCAGGAGGAAGTGCACCTTCTCCGGCAGATGAAGGAGATGCTGGCGAAGGACCTGGAGGAGTCGCAGGGCGGCAAGTCCTCTGAGGTCCTCTCAGCCACCGAGCTCAGGGTCCAGCTGGCCCAGAAGGAGCAGGAGCTAGCCAGAGCCAAAGAAGCCTTGCAGGGTGAGTGACGGGTCTGCAGAGTTCTCCGCTGCCCTCTTCTGGGGCTCGGGCTCGGGCCAGGGCCGCGCAGGCTCTGGCGACCGGAGTCCAGCCTCGGTCCGGGGAGTGACAGGGACACGGGGGCGCCCCAGCACCCAGGCCCCCGCTGAGGCTGCCGTGCCTGTTCCGGGATGGAAAGCCGCCTCTTGCAGGGTCCGGGCATGCATGTCGTCCCCTGTGTGCCCACCACCGTTCTCCCTCGTGGCAGGTGGGTGGGCAACTTTGCTGAACCAGGCGGCTGCGTCTCCTCTCCCACACCCTGGGGGTCCTCCGGCGCCTCCCCTCCCCGGGCGGTGTGCCTGCGCTGGGCTCTCTGCCGGAGGACACGTCGGCTTCTGCACTTCACTCCGGCGCCCCGTGGCGGGCCCTGTCGGGAGGCGGGCTCAGTCCTCTTCTCGGGTTGTTCGGAGACCCCCTCGAAGGAGGGCAGCCTCCAGCCCTGGTGGGCGCGTTGGGAGGGAACGTGGTCTAGGTGTCCGGGTGGTCTCTCGCCACAGCAGACCACAGGCCCGTAACCAGAAACTGCTGCAGAAAGCAAGGGAACCACCGGGCCCACACGTTCCGCCTGCTCTCCGGGGAGCCGGCTGGGATGCCGGCAGCCGCATCCCCATCTGTCTGGGAGCCACCTGCCCACGCTCTGGGCAGTAGCAGGGAGGGGCCTCAGGAGGTCCTTCGAGAAAGGCTGGAGGCCATCCTCGGACAGTGCTCGGAGGGTCCGTCCAGGCCCTGGGACAGAGAATCGGCTCCGGGGTCTCCGTGATCATCCGCCTTCCCCGGGCGTCTTTGTTCCCCCAGGGGGTGGACGGGGGCAGGCAGGGAGGCAATTAAAACCTGGCCACCTGCTTTCCACCTACCGTTTACTGGAATGATAAATACTCCGAAGACGCTGTTTTTGAAGCCAAAGCAGGCTAATTACTTAGATTGATTTGGGGCTGCTATAGCGGAGACTCCAACACGGAGGGGCTTGGAGAATCGGTCCGTCTCCGTCTTCCGTGACCATCCCCAGGAGCGTTTCGGGGCGGGGGGCCTCTGCTCCCCCGGCCTGTGAGAGACGCAGGGGAAGAGACCCTCCCCCAGCAACAGCTGGGGCACGCGGCCGGGCCTGGCTGCGGGGCGTGTGGGCAGTGTCGCTCCCCACTCGGCATCCCTGTCCGAGCTGCCAGTCTAAGGGTGGGGGAGGGGAGAGTGGGTGTTGCTGGATAATTTGCCGGCTCTGTCACAGCGGGTTTCTGGACCGGAGGGGAGGCGTGAGCCGTGAACACTCACACCCTGGCTAAGCAGGCTGTCTGTCCGTCCAGCAGCCGCTGGCTGCCCCCCCAGGACATCTGGGAAATCGTCTCTGAGCATGACCCTCACCCAGCTGTCACAGCCTCTGTACGCCTGAGTTCTTCTCAGTGAAGCAGATTCCTCTCCCAGGCAGGGAGGCCCGTTTCTGCCGGGGTTTTGTCTCACGGGGTCACTGAGACCGCGCCGTGGGCGGCCCCTGCAGGCCACAGTGGGCAGACAGGTGGGCTGGGTTGTGGTTGGGAAGCCCTGGTGCCAAGCATGCCTGCTTTCTCTAGCAGCCAGCCAGCCAGCCATCTAGGCCGATCTGTGGGTGCCTCCCTCCCCCACCCCCACCTTCCCAGGAGCCTCCGGGAAGGAAGGGACCCCATCTCAGGGCCCCGGTCCAACGAGCTGCGGTCCTTCGGTCTCCCTGAGCTTTGTGCAGCCATGGGGAGACGGGGCTGCCCCAGGAAGCAGCCGCCTCGACCACCGTGGCCAGCATTCACTGCAGGATGGCAAAGCCTGCCCTCTAGGCCCTTGGCCCAGAGAGAATTCTCCCTCTGGACCCATGGAGAGTAGAAAAACCGCTCAGCTGTTTCTGGACCCAAAGGAACGGGCAGGGGAGTGGGCGGAGGCTCAGTTACCCTGCCCCCCAGCTCCTGTAATGTCTGTGACGGGGAGGGCGCGGCGATCGCCCCTGCGGTGCGAGCTGGCTGTCAACGTGAGGTGTGAGGCGCAGCCCTCGGGGCACAGAGCTAAGCCGGCATTTCTCCCGAACTGTGCCGTAGCTCTCCCGTCTGCCTCCAAAGGTCTCCCCAGGGACCCCAAGGTCCGCCTGACGGGGCGGCTCCTTTGTGGGAACAGGACTCTTATCAGTGACAACTTGTCAGTATTTGTTAAAGGAAAGCTTTATTGAGCACCTACTGTGTGCCAGCACCGTTCTAAGCACTCGACCCACCATTTACCTCAGTGCTGCTAGGAGGCCGGAACCCCCTTTTACAGAGGGAGCCACCTGGACGAGGCTCAGGGAGGTTAGGTAACTTGGCCACGTCTGCAGAACTTCTTTTAGAAATTGTGTCTGCTACACCAGCACACCACACCTCCCCTCTGGGGATGAAGTCAGCCCAGACGAGAGAGATGGGGCCCTGTTGGAGCTCCATAACGGTGCAGCCGACGCCTACATCAGAGCTGGGCTTGATCCAGCTTTACCGCTTCCTAGCTGTGTGACCTTGGGCAGATTCCTTACCCTCTCTGAACCATAGTTTCCTTACTGAGGGTACCAGTAACCACACCTGCTTTTCTTATCATAGGGGCTAATAAGAGTAGCTACCTCGGAGGGTTGTTGTGAGGGTTACATGAGATGTGAAGTGCCTGGCCCCGTGCCCAGAACATGAGCGCAATTACTCGGGGATGATGGCATGAGAGGGGGTTGGCAGTCCTGCCCGGGTCTGCTTGGAGATTTGGTCTCCCGCCTCCCAATAGGCGGGGCCCCGACCTGAGCACCCCTGAGCGCATCCGAGCTCAGGGTAGGCCATGTTCCTGAAAAGCAGTCCGGTGGGCACCCTCAGCCGCCGGAGCGTCCTGCCCGGCGTCCTGCCCGGCCGTAAATGGGATGCTTCTTCCCCGGCCGCAGCGCACAGTGAGTGAATTGCAGACAGATGTGGCAGAAGGAGGCCGGGGCAGGAAAAGGGATTCACGTGCCCGTCGGAGAATGGGAATAAACGCACGAGCCAAATCAGCAGCAGCCAGGGTCCCTGTGGTGGGGACACGCAGAGCCCCCCCCCCCCGCCCCCCCCAGAGACTTCTGGCAGGTCCGCGCCCGCCCGCCCGCCCGCAGCCTTGGGAGGTGTGGGAACTTACACGCCCAAAATATCAGCCCCGGGTCCCAACATCAAAGCGACGCGAAGAATCTATTTTGGGGGAGATGGGTTTAGGAGGTTCCTGTGTGTCTGTGGGGACGAGTCCAGGAATGTTTGCTTTAGGAGTCTGATCTCCCTGTGAGTTTCCAGGCGGAAGCCATGAGCGGTGGTTTAGGAAAGAATGGTGTCGCTGCACACACTTGCACACGGACCCTAGTGTGTGTGTAAACGTACCCTAGTCCCCGAGTGACCCCAGCTCCACACCCATGGGGAGATTGTAGCCCCCAGTGCCCCTTTGGGGTGTCTGTCCATTTCCCCAGGCCCTCCTCGGTTTCACTGGTTCCTCCGAGCATCAAGGGGCTGTAGAAACGGTCATGAACATGGGCTTCCTCCCTTTCTTAATCTCTTAATGGCACGTGGAGTGTGTTGAGCCTTTTCCCACAACGATAAATACTCTTGGAAAACACAATTTTTAATGACTGCATAATGTTCTACCAAATGGAGACACCGAAACTGATGGAGCCACTTCCCTATTATTGGACGTTGGTTTCCACGTTTTTCGTTTTATCTTTGCCGTCACATAACACACGCTAAAGACCTGTGTTTGTGAATCGGTTTCTTTTTCTCAGACTCTCTGGTCTCGAGAGCGTGTTAAACTCTTGCAGAACTGAGGACCCCAAAGAGCCTTTGTTTTGTTTGCATGGTTTGGATCGGTTGTCATCTACTGTTTTAGAAATTAAAATGGAAAAAAAGTCTAAATCTTTAATAATTAATTTAAAAATAATCATAAGCCCATCGCACGTGAATATAAAAATAGAAGTATTTTTTTAATGAAAAACAACTCTATTTTTTCCCAACAGAAAGATTTACGTGAGAAGGGAAACACCATTTTGTGTGTGTGTGTGTGTGTTTTAAGATTTTATTTATTTATTTTTAGAGAGGGAAGGGAGGGAGAAAGAGAGAGAGAGAGAGAAACATCAATGTGCAGTTGCTGGGGGCCATGGCCTGCAACCCAGGCATGTACCCTGACTGGGAATCAAACCTGCGATGCTTTGTTTTGCAGCCCGCGCTCAATCCACTGAGCTACGCCAGCCAGGGCCATTTTGTGTTTTTGTGCAAACTTTCTAATGTCTGGTTTTACACAGGACTGCCGCGTTCCCCTCTCTGCCCCTTCGGTCAGGCTGCTGGGATTTGTTTCCTTGGCTGGAAATCTGGCCTCACACCTGCGCCGTTGGGAAAGGGAGGAGTATAGTAACTGCCTTATCAGGTCGTTGTGGATAATTTTCTTCGATGCTGCACTGAAACTGGCCCCATGGAAGTTTCTTCAGAGGTTTGCTGCAGCGTAGGATCTGAAGCCTTGTTTCTGTGATGGGTCACAGTCGTCTAAGCCACTGGCCCGATTGGTACTTTGAATGGATTTTTGCTCCCACGTGGGATTTTTTTTAACATTTGATGTTGGTCACTTGGAAATACTGACTCACTGAGCAATGCAGATCTTCCCGATGTTGTCACATTTCATTATCCATAAAGTCTTTAAGCCTTAGAAAGTTGTTATAGCCAGAGCGGCAGGTCAGGTTCGCCGGAATTCTCGTTTTTGCTCAAAACCTAAGTGCTGTCAATGGCAGCAAACCCTGTCAGCCCTTTCCCTAAGAAGTGACAGGCTTACTTCTCCCATTTGGTGACAGTTCAGAAGCTTGCAGGGCACCAAAGTGTGTGTGTCAGTCATCCCATCGAGGACAAACGGTGTTCTAGGGACAAGTGGCTAGTTTAGCTGGCAACTCGGCCACACAGATGTTTTTCCTGACACAGTCACGGTTCTTCGCTGTGCAGCCAGAG